AGAGGGAGGGAAAAAAAAAATGTGCAAGGAGAGGAGGAGTTGTTTTCATTCTCTGACAGTTTTTTGGGACATAAAGGCACCTTCTAAAATGGATAAATTGTCCCTACATTGCGGCTGATCCCTGAGCACCCCAACAGCTCCTTCCCCTTCTTTCCCCGTTGACACAGGGAGCAGATTTGAGATTCCTGGATGGATCCTCTCCTCCAGGTGGCATTTCTGCCTTCAGGTTCCTGATAGATCCTCTATTCATGGTGGCATTTCTGCCTCAAGGTTTCTGGATGGATCCTCGAGGTTCCTGATGGATCCTTGAGGTTCCCAAATGAATCCTATTTTCCCTGTGGAATTTGTGCATCGAGGTTCCTGATGGATCCTCTCCTCCTGGTGGCATTTCTACCTCAAGATTCCCAAATGAATCCTCTTTTCCTCCTGGTGGCATTTCTGCCTTGAGATTCCCAAATGAATCCTCTTTTCCTGGTGTCATTTCTGCCTCGAGGTTCCCAAAAGAATCCTGTTTTCCCTGTGACATTTCTGCCTCGAGGTTCCAGATGGATCCTCGAGGTTCCCAGATGGATCCTCTTTTCCTGGTTGAATTTCTGCCTGGAGGTTCCTGATTTATCCTCTCCCCCAGTGTCATTTCTGCCTCGAGATTCCCAAAAGAATCCTCTTTTCCCTGTGGAATTTCTGCCTCGAGGTTCCTGATGGATCCTCTTTTCCCTATGGAATTTCTGCCTCGAGGTTCCTGATGGATCCTCTCCTCCTGGTGGCATTTCTACCTCAAGATTCCCAAATGAATCCTCTCCTCCTGATGGCATTTCTGCCTCGAGATTCCCAAAAGAATCCTCTTTTCCCTGTGGAATTTCTGCCTCTAGGTTCCCTCCTGGTGGCATTTCTGCCTCGGTGTCACCCACCTGCGTCACTCAGCCACTTCTCCAGCAGGGGTTTGAGCTTGCACATGTTCTTGAAGCTCAGGTTGAGAGCCTCGAAGCGGGAGATGGTGGTCTGGCTGAAATCATTGCCGTAGAGCTTCCCCATGGCCAGGCCCACATCACCCTGCAAGAGGACACGTGGTGAGAGCAGGGAAACCCCTCCCAGGGGTCCCAGCCCCGCTCAGAGTCACAGAAACACAGGAAAAAATTGGCTGGAAAAACTTAGAGATCATCAGCTCCAATCTATGGCCCAGCAGCTCCTCAGCACCCAGTGCCACATTCAGGATTTTTCTAAACTCCCCCAGGGACGGTGACTCCACNTGGGGGTGCTCATGGAGGAATCCAAAGGAGCAGATTCTGGGGGGAGAGGGAGGGAAAAAAAAAATGTGCAAGGAGAGGAGGAGTTGTTTTCATTCCCAGATAGTTTTTTGTGACACAAAGGCACCTTGTAAAATGGATAAATTTTTCCTAGATTGCAAATCCTCCCTTTGATGATTAAAATTGCTCCAAATCCATCAAGGGACAGGAATAGCAGTGCCAATATTTTAACCCACACCCCATTTTTCCTTTGTGAACCTGATTTCCAGCGTGCTCTGATAAGGGCATTATTGAATTTCATTATTGAATTTCACCCCTGGGATCGGGGTGGCTGAGATGTGACAAACAGCTCACACTTCCTGAAGGCTTGGCTGAATCACCCAGGCTGCTGTGAGCTCAGCCCAGGCCAGAACCCCAAATCCTGCTGGGTTTGGGATTTTCCCTCCCAGTGCCACCCTTCCTTCCCCACCCACAGCTCCTAGGCTGATCCCTGAGCACCCCAACAGCTCCTTCCCCTTCTTTCCCCATTGACACAGGGAGCTGATTTGAGGTTCCTGATGGATCCTCTCCTCCAGGTGGCATTTCTGCCTTGAGGTTTCTGGATGGATCCTCGAGGTTCCTGATGGATCCTTGAGGATCCCAAATGAATCCTCTTTTCCTGGTGGCATTTCTGCCTCGAGATTCCTAAAAGAATCCTCTTTTCCAGGTGGCATTTCTGCCTCAAGGTTCCCAGATGGATCCTCAAGGTTCCCAAATGAATCCTCTTTTCCTCATTTCTGCCTTGAGGTTCCCAGATGGATCCCCTTTTCCCTATGGAATTTCTGCCTCGAGGTTCCTGGATGGATCCTTGAGGTTCCCAAATGAATCCTCTTTTCCTGGTGACATTTCTGCCTCACGATTCCCAAATGAACCCTCTTTTCCCAGTGGCATTTCTGCCTTGAGGTTCCTGATGGATCCTCATTTCCTGGTGGCATTTCTGCCTCGAGATTCCCAAATAAATCCTCTTTTCCTGGTGGCATTTCTGCCTCTAGGTTCTGGATGGATCCTCTCCTGCAGGTGGCATTTCTGCCTCGAGGTTCCCAAAAGAATTCTGTTTTTATTATGGAATTTCTGCCTCGAGGTTCCTGATGGATCCTCTTTTCCTGGTGGCCTTTCTACCTCAAGATTCCCAAATGAATCCTCTCCTCCTGGCGGCATTTCTGCCTTGAGATTCCCTCCTGGTGGCATTTCTGCCCCGGTGTCACCCACCTGCGTCACTCAGCCAYTTCTCCAGCAGGGGTTTGAGCTTGCACATGTTTTTGAAGCTCAGGTTGAGAGCCTCGAAGCGGGAGATGGTGGTCTGGCTGAAATCGTTGCCGTAGAGCTTCCCCATGGCCAGGCCCACGTCACCCTGCAAGAGGACAGGCAGTGAGAGCAGGGAAACGCCTCCCAAGGCATCCCAGCCACGCTCAGAGTCACAAAATCACAGAAAAAAATTGTCTGGAAAAGCTTTGAGATCATCAGCTCCAATCTATGGCCCAGCAGCTCCTCAGCACCCAGTGCCACATTCAGGATTTTTCTAAACTCCCCCAGGGACGGTGACTCCACCACCTCCAGTGCCCAATCACTCTTTCAGTGAAGAATTTTTTCCTAAAATCCAACCTAAACTCCAGGATGACTTCAGTTTTGTTCCCATCACCTTTCTGCCAGGGAAAAATGTTATTTTTTCTCCCAGGAATTTGCCCCATGCCCCCAAATACTGGAGAAGGGGCAGACAATGAGGTCGTGGTGAGGTTGTGTTTGGAAGGGAATGCTGCAAAATACTCCAAATTTACCTAATCCAGCCTTTCCTTTTTCTACCCCAAATCCCTCCACCCCTCCCTCCCTCTCACCTGTGTGAAGCCCAGCTTGATCCTCCTTTGTTTGAAAGTCTTGGCGAATTTTTCCAGCTCCTCCAGGTCGCTGGGCTCCTCGGATGCTCCCGCTGGGGTCAGGTGCTTTGCCACTTGCAAATGCTGGGGGACATCCAAGTGGGGCTCCACCGAGGAACCAGGGAGGCCAGAGCGCCCCACAGCCTGTCCAAACRACCCCAAAAACCATAAAAATATAAAATTACCCCATTTCCTGTGCTATCTGCCCTCCCTGAAGCAAATCTCGCGGGTGGGAATGTGAGGTTACCTGGGACGCCAGGCTGGGTCCGGGTTGGGAGAGGAGGAGGCTGCCCTGCTGCTGAGGGAAGGAGAGGAGGTTTGGCTGCAAAGCTGAGGAGGAAAACAAAACAAACAAACAAAAAAAACCAAACAAAAAAAAACAAAAAAAAAAAAAAAAAAAAGAGACAAATCTGGTCAATGAACATCCCCAGGAAAAGTTCAGAGTAGGCAGCTCCGTTTGTTATTTCTTGATCAAAATACAAGAATTTCAGCTGCTAGGGACAAATCTGGCTCAGAGGAGGCAGAAAAGATTCTTCCCGTGGCCTTTTGGCCTGCAAGGGATTATTAAAATAATGATAAAAGGGAAATATCTCATTTGCTGATCCCTGAGTGCCACTCGTCATGCTCAGACTGAGCATTTTTCACTCTTCTAATCCTGATTTTAGGTGCCAAGCAGCAGAGAAYTTCCTACAAGGATATAGGGAAGGATCGTGGGGAACTCTCCCTGTACTCCATCATGGCAGCTTTTAGAAAAATGGACATCTTATTTCCCATATAAGCTCTTCTGACTCCAACGTTCAGCCACTTGATCTTGTTAAAAACCCCCTGATCCCCCAGTCAATCTCGTGAGCCCTCCCACACCGCTCTCCAGTCCACATTTCATTTTTCCAGCAGCATTTGGAAGCCGTCTGACCCTTCCTTTCCTACCCTACTGTATTTCAAATAAATTGAATTGCTCTCCGAACGCAGGAGCTGACACGGAATGATGAAAGGAAAAAAGGAGGGGAACCCATAAACCCAACAAAAACTGGGATTTATGGACACTGTGTAATTGTTTCGTTGACAAACTGCCGAGTGCAAGCCCACATCTCTTCGAGGGAATGTCCTACAGGATTAGGTTGTGTAGYTCCCCAGGAATTTAGGTGATATCAAGTCCATTGTGAGTGAAACCTGTGGAATTTAGCGAGGATTTACAACCTCGCTCAGAGCAGTCGATGTATTTCATTGATCATTACTGACAATTCCTGGGAAATCCATAGAAATTTATGGATTTGTGTTAATAAAGGGAAAAATGATAATCCCGAGAATCAATCACTTCCCTCCCCCTCTGTCTCTCTTTCTGCCTTTTCTGATTTAATTCAGATCTGATGTGCTCTATCCCATTTATTTACTGAGGGTGGAATTAAGCCTTGCCTAACGCTGGAACAACTCAGAATTTCCACTTTGGGTTGGTGAGGATTGGAATTTCCAGCAGTGCAGGTGATAAATCACTGGAACTGCTCTGCCTTGGGATGTGGCAGCTGCTGTGTCACGGGGAGCCTTTAAAATCATGATTGAACACTTTTGTGAGAGCTCAGCTCGAGCTGCGAGGGAAATTAATGATCCAGGAATCTGAATAATCCAGGAATTGCCGGGATGGAGGCTGGGATTCCATCAGATGGGATTTCAGCAGCGATGTTTGGGATTTCCAGCATCATTCCCACTTTTAGGGAGCCCTCCCCACCCTGACTCGGGTGGGGGCTGTGCAGGGAAGGAGGAATCAGACCTGGGAATTTCTATGACAGCTTTAAAAAACAACCCAAATTAAATTCTTGTCCCTCTTGGAAAGGTTCAGCCCTCAGCCAGGACCTTTTGGCCAAAAAAAATCCATTTATGGACCCACAGTCCAATATCACTCAAGATATTCCTATAACAGCCCCAAGGACAAATCAGGAATATTTTCTGTGGTTTTTTTTTTTTTTCAGGAGGAAGAAAACTCCACTTTACAAAACCAAATTCCACAAAACCAACCTGAGCCTTCATTTTCGCTGCCCACTGGCTGTGAATGCACGTGGCCAAGGATCATTAAACCAAGGCAATCACCCATGAAAATGGAAATATTCCTGCACAGAAAATGGAAATATTCCTGCACAAAAATCCAGCTCCTGGCCAGAATATCCTGCCTTGGTCAAGCCTGGAACTGGAAGGGCTGGCAACCAAACAAGTGGCCAAATAGCTGCCCAAAAAATTCACTAAACACATAAATTCTAAGCTGTAAAAGGCAGCAAGTTCTGCTGTGCAGTAAAAGATGTTTATTATTCATGAATAAAAGCAGGCAGCAAGGAATWGATTGCCCTGACCGTATTTCAAACAAACTCATTCAGAATTATTTGTAAATATACATCAAGTATCTTTATCCATCCCTCAGCACCATTTGGCAGAGAGGAGAATTTATTYGTTGTCAGGAAGAAATAAATTTCCCACTTGCTTTTGGAGTGTGGGTTCAAGCTGCAGAGATTTAAGGTTATAACTCTGAATTTTAGCTGATACAGAGGGAATTCTGTGCTGGGATAAATCAAAAATTCAGGCAGAGGATCCAAGTCCCCTCGGATCTGCCAGGTTATGGATCAAAGCCTAACTCTGCCCATGAGCAGCAGAAAACATCCTCYATCTCCATCCCTGGTTTTGGAAAAATGCTGTAAAAATATGGGTGTTAACAACAGAATTACAGAGTCTTCTTCAAGCCCTGAGTCCGGTCCTCAGTGCTTTCCTGGAGATGATTTTTCT